CTGAACTGATGAATGGAATCGAATATAAAGTTTGATCCAAATGAAATATTTTTACTTGCACCAAATTCAAAAATGTTGAAAGTTAACAGAGCTTTGCAAGTATCGGGTCATTACAAATTGAAGCTCATGATTTATTATCAGATCTCCTTGATGACCATGTCTCAAATAAAGATTTATTATCAGATTTAAGCCACAACCAATATGCTTCAGCTATTAACTACCAATTAAATCTTGCTCTCAAGTGCCATGGTAGTGTAAAATATTTAAATAGTGTTAAGGATAAAGCCAGCTCTTTATTAACTAAAATGATTATCAAAGAATGGGGAAGCTCAAATAACATGAAGCAAGTTGCAAAAAAGACATCAGTTTTGAAGAAATGTAGTAATATAATTAAAATGAAACATACAATAATATTTGTCAATTTCCATTAATTGATTATATATTTCAATTTTGTAATATTTCAAAATTCACATATTGGTATTTTACACAAATATCAACATAATATAAGTTGCCTCCACTGAATTGAAAAAATCAACATCACTTTTCTAATAAGGTAATATTATTATTTTTTTATTTTTTTTTCATATACATTTATCATTATATTAATACTTTTTTATTTTAACATTATAGATTCAATTATCTTTTATAAAAACAGTTTTAACAACTAAGCCACCATGGCATTTTTTATTTCTTAAAATAATAAAGTGAAGATGCAATTGAAAATGCAATAGAAGATGAAATTGAGGATAAAAGTGAAATTTAAGAAAATTCAAAAATAATTTAATTTTTATAATAATAAATAAACAAAATTTAATTTTTATAATAACAAATTATAATAAAGAAAAATAAAATATTTCATAAAAAAAAGTAATTTATTTGTATATTTTTAATGCTATTAACATAGAACTATTTTATTTATTTAATTTTTTGATGGTAGTTCTTTGTTGTTTTATTATTATATTATTTAAGACTTGCTGGTGGTTCAATCTTAGTCTCTTATTGGATGTACATTTCACTTTCGATATTATTACTTTTAATATATTTTCTACAACCGAGTGACTTATTACTTTAGTGTTTATTAAGTGATTGAAAAATTATGATTATCTTCAGTTTTTACCAATTATCGTTATCACCGTAGGGGAATAATACCTGATTTAATTGTTTTCTTATTTCATTTTCATTATAAGCTGTCTTTGGGTGTTGTCTGTGATTCTTTCAAAGTATACCCCCAATTTTTAGTAAATATCAACACATTACCATAGCCATTTTAAATTTTTAAAATAAATACTTATTCTTAAAAATCTAATAATTTTTTTTTTTTTATTTTTTTTTTTTTCATTTTATTTTTATTTTTTTTTTTATTTTATTTATTTTTTTTTTATTTTTATTTTTTTCAATGCACAACAAACAAACAAACAAACACATAAATAATTTAATAATGTAAACTATAGCACATCCAATAAATAAAAATAATAATTTTAACATTACTGAAAATATGTTTAAAGCCTTTCGAGAACAAGTAAGTAAATTAATACATTATTTTAAAACAACAACAGCAACAACAAACCCACACACATATAGAAAATGGCATCGTTGAAGAAATAGAAACAGAATTACTAACATAAATTAAAATAGCTTTTATTATTATTATTCAAAAGCCAGATTTACCAATTAAAACCATTCAATACCCTTACAGGATCTGCTGTCGTCGATATTATGAATGAAAGGATTTTATTACTTCTCAAAACTAATATCAATAACTATCATAAAAAGTCACAAAGTCGCAGAAACAAATTCTTTCAAAGTCTTTTAATCTCGAGTAAATCAGATAAAGTAACAGTTATAGAACACAAATAGTTTAGATAAGGAAAAGGGTAAACTTCAGGATTTTAGCAATCAATCAAATAATTCAAAAAAACAATCAAGTATATATTTAAATATCGAATTAAATAAATTTAATAATAGAGCACAATATTTAAATACCCAATATTAGTATTAACTCAGTAAATCAATAATCAGTCCTCAGTTATTAGAAGCTTTTAAGAAAGCTAAGATTAACCTTAATGATAATCTATTTATAGTGGTAAATGCAAAAGAGATGGTGGAGCTGATATTTAAATAAGTATAGAGATCAGTTTTCACATGGATCTATACAAAGGTTAAATGAAAGTTTTTGGTCTATATTAAAATTTTCAACACCGGTTCATCTCCAAACAAATGGTCATTCTGTATTAAGCACAACTAAATCACTCCATTTTTCGCAAAATTAGGGTTATGAACCAACTTCTCTTAAACTGCCAACTCATCGCAATTAACAAATCATTAAAGAATTGAGTAAATGATATAAGCTGCTTTCAGAGACAACTTAGAAAACAAATGAACATACCAAGAAATACAAAGTGGGTGTCCAAATAATACCAGAACATCAACAACAACAACAACCAGAAACAATTCCAGTTAGACCAAGACAATACTCATATAAACGTAGTGCACTAAGACTACCTGAAAAATCAAAACATTAAGAATAAGGCTATTAATCAAGAAAGAAGTGCAGCGTTAGAAATCTTGGTGATTCCCCTCGTTCATCTGGTTCACAATCTGCTTCAAGTGCCTCCACCATTAGGGAAAATGATCAAGTATTAAAAGTAAAATACATTTCATTAGAAAAGCAATTATTTAAAAAAGAAGAGGAGAAGAGAGAACTTTTAGAACAATTAGAATTTGCCAAGAAAGTTTTCAATCCGAAAATCACATAATTAAATCAGAGATTACAATTCTTCAAGATAAATTCAGTTAACAATTTTTCAACACTGGTCATTATACTTCACAGAGTTCTCGTACTGATAGAGGGGATCAATATTGGTTTCTAAATAAACTGATGAATTCGAAGATAAAGCAGAACAAATAAATCTTTTACAAAGAAATCCATTAAAAGCGGTAGCATCAAATTCATCAAAATCTAATGTTGGTAGTTCAAATGCAGGTGCTAATAGTTCACCAATCATCTCATTGAATACTTCAGAAGAAATCAATGGTAATAGAATCAAAGAGATTGAACATGAATTTGAAAGCTATAGAATTGCAAAAGAGAATTTAGCAATGGAGACAGTTATTAGAAAGCCAAAGAAATAGCAGTATTTTTGTTACAGATCCAAGAAATCTCGATGACGAGCTTCCAACTTATATGATGATACAGGTTGAACAACTTTGAAAAATAGAGATGTCTGACCCAAAAGGTTCATTTGGAAACATTTTGAAATCAGAAATTGATAAAATAAAGAAATTACACATCCTAAAGAGGCAACATATTATTGGTTTAAATAAATAAATAAATAAATAAATAAATAGATAGATAATTTAGCAACTATTAAAGAGAATGAATCTAAATTAGCAATTTATGTTAGTACTCAGTTATTAGAAACCTTTAAGAAAGTTAATAGTAAAACAACGCCTTACTTTTTTCAGGACCATCATTATTAAGTTCACTTATTTTTTCATAACCATTAAAAACTATAATAAAACATAAAAATATTATTTACCGATAATTTAAAGCATTTGCTTTAAAAAAAAATTTATTTTATTTAGAATTTATATTTGATGGATCATTGACTGATTATGGTAAACCTGCCCTAGATTGAAGATTTAAATTTTTAGGAGGGTGTTTTAATAATTTTTCTTTATCTATTCTTTCTTTTCTTTCTCTATTTAATTTCTCATCATTGTCAAATTTTTTTTTTTTTTTTTTTATTACTATTTCTTAAAATGAATGTTGTAGATTCTGGTGCTGCTGTTGTTGTATTGTTATTACTTTTACTATTTTTTAAACTGAATGCTAATGCTACTGTTGTATAATTATTACCATTACTATTGTATGCTTCTATATTATCTAAAGAGTATGCACATTCTAATAAATCAAACATGTGTAGCTGTTCTCTTTTCTTTTCTGTATAGTAAAATAATTAAATTTGCATCTATATTAGTCTCTAAAAAAAGCTTTGTCTCTTGATTTTATTAATATATTCATCTGTCTGTATTACATATGTTTACTTTATAACAACAATCAATTAGTCTAAATGTTATTACAACTTACTTTTAATTTAATTTCTAATTAATTCCTTAGTTTTCTTTTTACCTTATAGCAGCCCAACGATCTTATGTTAAAATTTAATTGAATTAAAGTAGAATTGGTTTATTGCGGTTGAGGCTGCTGTGTGAATGTTGGGTATTGAAATGGGTCATGGGTTTTGATGAATAGTTTTTGCATACTGGTGTTTGTTCTATCATTTTAATACAAGACAAAAATAGTATTTGGTTATAAATAAATCTTATAAATAAAATAATTGAAAATGAAAAAAATAAAAAAAAATTTAATTTTTTTTTTTTTATTTTAAAATTTAATTTTTTTTTAAAATTTTATCCATAATTAAATTTGATATTTTTTTAATATCTGATAAAATTTGATTAAAAAAAAATATCAATAAAGAAAAAAAATAAATTAAAAATTTAAATAATAAAAAAAAATTATGTGTCAGTAGATTTTATAATTAATTTTTAAAGTTAATAAAATGAAACAAATACCATTATTTAATTTTATTTTTTTTTTTTTTTCTATACTATTAGCCACTCTTTGTAAAGAGTGTTTCCAGCTCAACCACGGGGAGGTTAGTATATTTGAGCCGACAGCTAACTATTATACCGCCACGCACAGTATAATAATTAGCCCTTGGTTTGATAATCTCAGAATACAGATACCAAGAGGGCCTGGTACCTATACCATCAATATACCAAACCAGCCTTGATTCTTCATTTTCTTGAATCTTCATACTTGCTACCTTGAATCTTCTTGATAAAGAACACATTATTTAGTTTTGATAAGGGAACTATGCATGGTGAACATTTTATTTAGCTCTTTTTCTTGAATCTAATTCTTTAATAATCTTTGAAATATTGATAACCTATAATATTTTTTTTTTATAAATTATTATTTTTTTTTTGCAAAAAAGGTATTAATTTTATGAAATAAATAAAAAAATATTATAAAATTACAGTATTTGATAAAAAATTTTAACAGTTATTTGTTTTATTTTTGTTTATTATTATATGAATAAATAAATAAATAGTTCAAAATAATAATTTTAATTAATATCTATACCATTCACCTGTCAGTTTTTTAAAGAGGTCCACATTCAATAATATATGATTTGATAAAGCCCGGGCATATATCCATATATTAAAGAAATATGGTTTAAAAAACGGAGGATTACCACGATGCCAAACACTATGTGAATGTCACACCCCTGTTCCCTTACGGGCCATTGATTAGGTATACTTTGACATAAATAAATAATTAATTATTATTTTGTTTACTATTTATTTACTATTTCATTTATTTATTATTATATTTATTATTATATTTATTATGATTAATTTTTTTTTATTTTATACAAAAAATTTATTAAAAATATTACTTGAGTAAAAAATAAAAATATGTAGATTTAAAAATGTGTTGTAAAATTATGGGGCATCTTTTTATAGGATAATAAGTGATCACAGATTTTTGAAAACCCACATTACCGCCATATTTATTATTAAAATTCATATAATTTTAAAAAAAAAATTTTAAATTTTTCCCAATTTTTTTATTTATTTTTATTTTTATTTTTTTCAACACACAACAAACACACACACCCACACAAATAATTTTAATAATGTAAAATATAGCACATCAAACCAAAAATAATAATTTTAACATTAGCGAAATATGTT